TATATGAAGAGTCCACGTGTATGAATAATATACAAAGAAAACAGGAAACGTTTCAGTAACAGTTGACTCGCTAATAAAGGAACGTATATGCAATGGCATAGGTACGGTTTTAAATGGAGAAAAAAACACGTTCCAAGATGTTCTCCTCCACACCTGCCCTTCTCCCGCTACTTTCAATTTGGTTAGCAAAAATTTCTAATTATGTAGAGAGAAATCGACTAATATCACCATTAGCTCTGCGACCTGTCATTCCATTCCCTCTTATCTATCAGTCTCTCTATGACACTTCATTTAGATATACGCCAGATTAGTCTTATGCGTTTTGATGATGAATGTCAAATAATTTGTTAATTAAATGTAATTATATTTATATCATAATATTGTATTTTTATTAGAATTACATCAATTATTAGTTAATGTTACTATTGTATATAATATTTTTTCTTTTTACTGTAGTTAATATTTTTTGTATTCTTTTTACTTTCTGTACTGCAATTTTATTAATGTATTATGTAAATATCATGCTATTCAGCTGATACTGTTATTTGATTATAATAATAAAATTGAAAAAATATACGATATATAGCAGATTCTATACAATTTGAATTGAATAATGAGATATTAGTGAGGAATTATGCTTGATCATTGAAATAATTTATAGTTATTTGACAACCATGCAACTGAAAGGGAATTAAAATTAAGCCTAATACCGAATTAAATCACGGACTTCCCATGATGTTTACGTTATTTTCAAATACTGTAGAAATTATATTCGCGCATAACACAATTAAATTCTCTATTGGGATTAAAAATCAGAATGCGGTAATAAGTTAACAGATAGCCCAAATTAATTTTAATATCATATCAATTTCATTCTCATCATACACACATTAGCCTATATAATTGTTAAAGTGTAGCCCATATTTCTTTTTATGTGAAGGGGCTTTGGCTAAAGGCGCAAAATATCTGTTACGCTTCACTGCAACTACCGAAGATGGACGTACAGGCACTAGCGCTATCGAGATTAGGACTCGTGGTGGTATCAAGCGTTGTGAGGTAAATGTACAGGGTGAATACATTCCACTTGAAAAGGTAAGTAATAGGCTGGTTGGAAACCAGCTCCACGAGCTTCCATCCATCGTTTAATTCACTGTCTAATGGAGCAAATATTTTATTATTATTATTATTATTATTATTATTATTATTATTAAAAAGCATTTATATAGCACCTTTACAAAAGAGATCAAAGTGCAGTACATTAAAAATATTTTTACAAATATAAGATTAAGTACAATAAAAATTAATTAATAGAAATGGCAAGTACAAATTACAAAACTACAAAAACCTAGTTAACGATAACAACATAGCAACAATAAAAAAAAACAATTGTATAATAAAATTATGAATCAGTCAAGTATAGATAAAAACCATTAAAAAACTACTCTCTAGGAAAGAGATGTGTTTTAAAAGTTTTTTAAAAGATTGCACGCTGTGGGCCTGGCGGATATCATGGGGGAGATTATTCCATAATTTTGGACCAATCACAGAAAAAGCACTTTCACCAAAACTCTTTTTGTAATGGGAGCTACAAGGCGTAGGGGATTATCAGAGGACGTAAGACCTACACGACCAGTCTGAAACTTTTTAAGAATATCTTGATTATATGTTGGACCTATTTTATGAACACCATTGTACACATTCAGTAAGATCCTAAAGTCTATTCTCTGCTGGACTGGCAACCAGTGAAGTTCTCGTAGCAATGACGAGGTTCTTGTGCGCCTATCAACGCAAAAAACCAGACTTGCAGCATGATGTTTTGAAGCCGCTGTACAGGAGCGTGAAATACCGCCAAGCAAAGAGTTGTCATAATCCAACCGAGAAAGAATCAAAGATCATACTATATGTGAGCAAGTACGGTACTCTGATCAATGAATGGTCTAATACGCTTAATATTACGTATGGTTAGTTAACTGTGCGACAAATAGGCCCTAGATGATACTTGTAAATCCATCTTAAGACAATGATCAAAAATTACCCCAAGGTTCCTAACTGATGACGAGGGAGAAATTGGAGATTCGCCAAATTGAACTAAAACGTTACATGGACTTTAGTTGCCTTTGAGATGAGATTAGAAAGAATTAACTCTTCGTTTCATTAAGCTTTAACTTATTTTCCAGCATCCACGATTTCACTACAGCTATGCATTTTGTTAAGCGCAATTGCGCAGCTACCCTATCACAAGGTACGTTTGGGTCTTAACTAACGTACAACTGTGTTTCGTCAGCATAGATATGATACAAAACACCAAAGCGCTTTAAATATCAGTCACCGACTTTGAATAGCCATTGAAAAGCGGTGGATAGAGATCAGAGAAACTGCCTGATACACATACTCTGCTACTGCGTTCACAGAGATATGAACTGAATCAATTTAAAGAAGATAGTATATTCATATTCATTTTGAAGCCTCTACATAAGAATATTATGATCAATGGTATCGAAAGCTGCTGACATATCTAATAAAACAAGCATAACAACTCTACCATGACTCAGTTCATTTACGATGTCATGTCTGTGGGTCGACTTGTACGCAGATTGAAATTATTCAAAAAGTTGTTTGAAAGAAGATGCTCATAAAATCCAATCCAGGGTATTCCAGTATTTTTCAAAGAGTTGGGTGGTTGGACACAGGGCGGTAGTTTTTAACAAGTCTTTGTCATTTGTTGGGTTTTTAATGAGAGGAGTTATAATAGCTTCCCGAGGAATGGAAGGAAAACAACCAGCACTGAAGGAATTATTTACAAGCGACACAATTAAAGGGGTCACAATTTCGGAACATTCCTTCAGCAGCCACGTGGGGAGTGGATCAAGAATTGTTTTTATTGGGAATTCTAGATATTATTTTACTAACCTCAGTTTCATCTACAGGAGAGAGGTTTTCAAGTACATTAACAATATTAGGCCTACACTCTACAGAGCTGCTACCAACATCAGGGTGATCATTATACAAACTCATAATAACAACATTTACAGATTCGTTAACGTACTGGTCATCATGTTTTGATCTAAGTTTTGATACTTTACAATTGAAATACGTGGCAAAATCATTGCTAAGTGTTCCATTTGAAGTACTAGCCGGTAGCGCTCCATTCGAGCTATTAAGAAGAGAACTTAGAGTCCCATACATTGTGTTTGCTTCAGCATTCCAATCAAATTCAATCAGAACATTTGTAAAGCGCCTTTCTTTGCAGATACGAAGCGCTGCACCCCACATATTCAGGCACCTCACAACCCATAAGCAGCCGTAATCGTTGCCTAACCCAACCACAGAACAAGTAAACAAATCAAAAGAAGCAGTGGCAAAGTTTGGGATGATCATAAATAAATAATGCAACAATATATGAAATAAGAATAAAAATGGGATAATTAGTTAAAGAGGTGAGTCTTTATATTAGACCTAAAGACAGCCACAGACGGTGAAGATCGAATGTGCACTGGAAAGTTATTCCAGATAAGTGGTGCCTCGCTCGAAAAAGATTTGTTACCAATACTGTTGTTAAAGATAGGTTGATGGAAATTAGCATTCTAAGCTGATCTGGTACGAATTTGCTACAAATACGCTTGTTAAAGATAGGCTGATGGAAATTAACATTCAAAGCTGATCTGGACTTACGAATTTGCTTTTTACGTACAAGTAAATAGTCAGAAATATATTGTTGGCATAGGTCAGACAGTGACTTGAAAGCAAGGACCATTAATTTGAAATAAACCCTTTGCCTAAAAGGGAGCCTGTGAAGTTCACGCAGACGTTGTGATGTGTGAGTATGAAAGGATCGGATGTTAAAATTAGACGTGATCAAGCTCTAAGTGCCTAGACCTTTTGGAAGCACAAACAATGAATTCAGTTTTGTTATTATTAGGTTTAAGCTTATTCTTAGCCATCCAAATTTTAATATCTTTGATACATAGCCTAAGCCTATCCAAAGCCAGATCAACAGAAGAGAGATGAGAAGGATCAAAATCCAGATACAGTTGCAGATCATCAGCACAAAAATGATATTTAATACAATAACGCCTGATGATGTCTCCAAGCAGACTGATATTTAGGCTAAATAGAGCAGGACCCACTACCGAGCCTTGTGAAATCCCGGAAACGTTAATAAGTGTGGATCCGAGTAATTATCATCGACAAAGACACGACAACTCCGGTTGGTGAGATAGGAATTAAACCACCTTAAGGCATATTCTGGAAATCCAAAAGAAATATTCAGACGATTAATAAGGATCTTATGGTCAACCTTGTCAAACTCAGCTGACAAATCGAACAAGACTAACAAGACACCTCGATGTTTATCAATAGAGACAGCAATGTCAGTATACACCTTGAGTAATGCTGTTTCTGTACTATGGAGTGGACGATACGCCGACTGCAAGTGTTCAAAAAGTAAAGTGAAGTAAGATAAGCATTAATCTGAATTATTGCCGCTTTTTCAATAACTTTTGAACAAAAAGATAGGTTAGATACCGGTCTGAAGGTGCTCAGAACAAGACCAGTTTTCTTTAAAATTGGTTTAACCACAGCGCACTTATAAAAATCTAGAAAAACACCAGATGATAATCAGACGTTTACAAGCTTTGTAATCAAAGGTAAAATAATAATAATAATAATGCTTACTGAGCAGCTTAATTGGACAGTCATCAAGACATGATGATTTAGATAAGTATTTCCTAAGCAGACATAATATATCCACGTCTGAGATAGAAGAGAACTCAGAAAAAGCCACAGAACAGTGAGCATCATAAGTGGGATCACCAGGACAAGGATCCAAGTGTCAAGCTCATGGCGAATATCAGCAACCTTTCCAACAAAGAGGTTGGCAAACCTATTAGCCAAATCCTGAGCGCATTCAAAATCAGGCAGTGATTTTTTGTTTTCTATTAAGTAGACAATTCAATGCATTGGATTAAGATTTCGTTTCAGTGCAACCAGATAACACGTTCCTGAAGCATTGAATAATTTTTTTTTAGATGATCAGTTTCAGATTGAGCAATCATATTCTTCACGACATTATTCTGCTCAAGATATTTAATACGATCAGGGTCAATGAGAGTGTTGCGTCACTTGCGCTTGCACTTCTGACGTTTCCTTCTAGCGTCCCGTACTTTATCATCAAACCACTTAGGACATCTTATGGTTTTTTGATAGCGAGTCATTTTTGGACAGTGTTTGTTATGGCGAGCCGAGTTGCCATTGTAATGGTAAATAGAGACATCTTAGTTTTAACTAAGATATCTCTATTAATAGAGATATCTTAGTTTTAGATAGAGATACCTTTATTAAAAACTAAGATATCTATATTTAAACTAAGATATCTTTATTTAAAACTAAGATATCTCTATTTTTGATTAAATGACAACTCGGTTTGCCATAGTTTGTCAACTAGTTTGCTTGTTAGGATCGTTGTATGTGATAAGATTGCAAAGTTCTTGAGTTAAAGCAGACTTAAAACATCAATGTCAAGATCATTGAAGTTTCTCATTATGATTAACTTTCTTTCTGGCAATGGCTTTGAATTGTTGATAGTACATTCTATCATATAGTGATCCATACCTATTTGGGAGACATTACATGTAACCAGCAGATCGTCTTCTACCGACAAATCACATGATAAAGTATGTGACCCGACTTGTGTTTTGGGATATCAATAAATTGCTTAAGATCATGTTCAGAAAGCAGTGACAGATAGTACGAACTTTACGCTTCAAAGGATTGTCGACATGGAGATTCATATCACCCAAAATAAAAGGCTTTCTGGGCAAATTTGCAATTTTATATAAAAAATTATCAAATTCTTCCAAAAATTTGGCAGTCGTGAAACCGGTCTTTTGACTGGGTGGAGGACAATATATAGCAATACTGTTAAAAGATTTAGATAAATTAGTAGCACATGCATATTCGAATGTGTCCACAGTAGAAGAAATTGGACTTATCTTCACATTTGTATTTGATCTGTAGATTATTGCAATTCCATCATGTTTCTCACCGATTCTTGGGAAGTTCAAAAGGGAGTAGCCAGTCGGTGTGCATTCTCCAATGACAACAGGGTCGTCTTTACCGAGCCACGACTTTGTGATAATTAGAATCCACATCGGATTCTAGAATATAGTCATGAATTCTCACAGTTTTATTGCACACTGATTGTGCATTCCATACATTGATATTAAGATTCGGTTTGCTTCCACGTTGAATTTGTATTAGATTATTCATATTTACACCATTATATTTAGTATTGGGCTACATGTTGTGATAATTTTAGAGATCCTATGTTTCTGTCCACCTCGTTTACCTCGTTTACGCCACCTTGAGCGCTTTTGGTCAGCTTCATTTTGAGAATATGAGGAGTGAAGGTGAAAGTCATTTCCATAAGAAATAGGCTCATTGGAGTGGGCTAAGCGGTAGCATCACCCACAGGTGCAAAACAAAGAAGACATAAAGTTTCAAAATGATAAAAACCTTCACAATAATCTCCTCTGATATTGTAAGTTTACTTCTAAATATAGATGTAGTATATCGATATTTAAAAAAAAAACATGACAATTCAAGCTACAGTACGTAACGGAGCAAAAGCTGGCCGATGTGGCGCTGCAACACCGTATTATGATATTTAACTATTTATCCGAAACTAATCAGGGATTGGGGTGGCGATATTTTTAATATAATAATATGATGCATCAGTTTCGTGGCTAATGTTTTAGCATTTAAGGTTGCTTTTGCGAACTTTACTATAAAAGAAGGAAGGCAGACGAGGAGGGAGTTTCAACTGACCCCTTAATTGTCCAACTGTCGTTTCACTTACATTTGATTTTCTAAGCTGGTTGAATCATGATGTCTCCGTGGTTCAATAATCATGCCCGTATTACTGAAATTCGTACCTCTATGGTTCAATCATGCTTTCATGGTTCAATCCATTGCTCAACCATCATCTTTGAGCCATCATGCCTCCATGGTTCAGCCATTATGCATCTATGTTTCAACCATCATGACTCTATGGTTGGGCCTACCTCCTACGTGGTTCAACCATCACTACTCCATGGTTGAGTCTACTTCCTCCATGTTTCAAACACAATCATTGATGGTTCAACCATTATACTTGAGTCATCATGCCTCCTACATGGTTCAACCATCATGCATCCGTGGTTGAACCATCATGAATCAAAGGTTGGGCCTCCTACATGGTTGAATATTATGCATCTATGGTTCAAACATGTTTCAACCATCACGACTCCGTGGTTTAATCATCTTGAACTTGTAGTTCGGCCTACTTCATCAATGGCTCAAACATCATGCATCTAATTTTCAACCATCGTTCAACCAACATGATTCCATTGTTGAACCTACCTCCAACATGGTTCAAACATTATTCATCTATGGTTTAACAATCACAACTCCATGGTTGAGCCTACCTCATTCATGGTTCAAGCATCATGCATCATGGTTCAACCACCATAATTCCATGGTTGAGCCTGCCTCCTCCATGGCTCAATATTCAAGTTTTCATGATTCAACCAACAGGTTAGATGTGAGATCACAGGATGCACAGTGGACGAGGACGACTACCCACTCAGTTTTCAGGTTCTCCGAAAAGATGCTATAGCCGACGATTCTGAAAGAGATGGCGAACAACGGAAATTCTCCACTGCTTTATCAGAACCTACGAATGAACCTGGTTTTGAAGTAGTCGCTAGTCAACCAAACAATGATGAAACCAGAGTTCATCTCGAATTTCAGGTACATTAGAGAAGTACAATAGTAGCGCCGCAGTATTGGCACAGTATGGTAATTGCAGTAGTGGTAGACCCAGTAGTGGTGGTGGTGATAGTAATATTGGTGGTAATGTTGGTAGTAGTATTATTATGTGTGGTGGTGGTGGTGGTGGTAGTAGTAGTATTAGTATTGGTGGAATGTCAACGACATTTTTATCTACTAACATTACATATCAAATGTCATTCAAAACATTATTGTACCGTAATTCCTATAGATATGTAGTGTGAGTAGTTGTATTGCAACAGAAATAACTGTGGAGGTTGTTGAAAGGGAAAACCCATTATCCGAAGTCGAAAAAGACGCATTCTTCGAAGAGAACGTTGAAGAAGAACGTCAAAAAGGCAAGATTACTATTAATTATGTATCTATTTTAGGAATTGTAGGACAGCCCTAAGTTAGCCCCTCAATTATTTAGGTGAACTTAAAATCATCAGATTAGAATTCGAAGTGGTTTCAACCACAAACCACAAACCACAACCACAAATGTCACAAATCTTGCCCTCAAGTGTCTGTTTAACTACAAATGCAAAAAACATTTTGGCCTAAAAATGTAAAAAAAATCCTTTTTTACCTCAAATGTCGTAACATTTAATGTAAAATCTCATTGTAAGACAAGTTATTATCAAATGTATGGGTATGTGTACGTGTGCGTGAGGTTTTCGCAAGCATTAAAATCCTTAAAATACTGACCTTAATTAACCAACTACGTACTGTAATTACGATTTGTATGGTATTCGCGTGTCCTTTGCCTTATTTAGGAGCGAGCACACAATTAACATTATATGTCGATAGATTTTAAGATACAATATTTCGACAAAAACTAAACAAAAGATTTATGGCATATTAAATGGTTTTGTCAAAACAATTTTTTTGTTTTGTTTTGAGAACAGCAATTTCTTTAGAATATATACAGTACAGGTAGGTTAATTTTGTTTTTTATTTTATTATTTTTTTTTACCTTGAATGTCATTTCTTTGCAATGTTTGTTTTTGATATTAAGGTATGAATAAATGGAAAAAATGTTCCATTGGTTTCCATTGGTCACAATTCGACGAAAGCTTATTAACGGCGTTTTGAAGCCCATTACTTATCACAGATTTAATAACCAGATCGTCATAATAAAGTAGGCAGAATAACCGTGATTTTTTAAAACTTACACGATCACATGAGCTATCGAAAATAGCTGGAAGATTACTCGTAAATAAATTCAATAGAGGGCTTAAGGTACACAACTGTCTTGGGCCATTAATGACAAACATACAGTGGAGTAACAAATAATAAACAACTGATACAACAATGCGTTACGCAAAATCATTGCAATAAATCTCTCACTATTTGGGTTTCGTATTTTGTTAGTTCCATTACAAAACATATCCAGTTCTATAATTTCTAGCTTTTGTTTTCCTTTTTCTTTTTCTTAAAATATGGCAGCGTAAAAATAATGGACGCAATGTTAGTTGTATGCGGTAAAATACACGGATACCTTTCAAATCGTAAGCAGATAATTAGGATCTTTCAATATTTTAAGGATTTTATGCTTCGTACAACCGCACATAACCTCACACGCACACACATACATACATCTGATAATGACTTATCTTACAATGAGTTTTTACACTTTCGGTTGACATGTTATGACATTTTGGGTAGAAATGGAAATTTTTACATTTATAGGTAAAATGTTTTACATTTGTAGTTAAAAAGCTGTTTGCGTCAATTCATTTCAATTCAAATCATATTTATTTCTTTTTTGAAAAAAAAAATGTTAATCAATATATCAGTAGAATAGTTTAAAAAGTATCAAAAATAAAATCAATTCGATGACTCAAATTGACACTTTTGTCGAGCAAGCCGAGTTCATACTTAAAACAATTAAATATTATATTTAAACTATAATGAACGAAGATACAAAACAAAAGAAAAACAAAAACAACAAACACTTAAACGAACATCAATGGGCGGGAGGGGTGTTAGCCTGCAGAAGCTGTAGACACTTCGCTATCGTCACACTTGTAAGTTGTAATAGTAAATCCGAATGAAGGAATGATGGGATGAGTTATAAAATAAAGATAAACAAGAACAGTCTTCTAACAGACGCCTATGAATATGGTGCCATGCCTCGGATTAGACCTGTCCTAGAAAGTACAAAAAAGTCAACAATCTGTTAATTGTACATTTATTGAAGTGAATTGCCAACACAGAAAGCGTGGATGAATTAGAAGTAGTCACAAAAAAAACCTACGTCAAGCTGTGGACACACGCTGCCGCTGTGAGCCTTAGTTTTACACTTGTGGGTGAAATTTGTTACATTTCTGATTATTCTTACATTTATGGTTGACATTGTAATGATATTTGACATTTGTGGGTACAATCAATGCCGTATGGGACAGTCCCACACAATTTGTCCATGGGTCCACAATGAATGGGTCCACGTATTTAAAAATGGGTCCAAATTATGCACTTTTATGCATAAAATTGGTCCACTTTTTGGAAAATGGGTCCAGATTTTTCATATTAGTAAAATGGGTCCACATTGTTTGAATTTACGCGTAAAGTGTGTTTGAAAATCCTAGCTACGGCATTGGGTACAATGTTTTACACTTGTGGTTATTTTTACATTTTCCGGCTCTAATGGTAAGTTAGGATTTTGCTAACACTCGCATTTTAATTATGATTGCACAGGTAACCTCGTTGAAGCTCTGTTGGGACTGAATGCACTGGTATTAACTACTGACCAGAGTACTCCTGGTTCTCGCCGCAGAAAACGTAACGCCGACCAAGAAGATATAGCAGAGTATGGTAGTCTTCAGATTGATCTACTTAACGAACTTCAGTCTGCAGGCAACTTAGGGTCACGTGATAGACAAGCCGTATTGGACCAGACCAGACATTTAGCTTTTGAATATATGAACTCAACTACAAGAAGTAAGTCTATCATTCGATTGAAAATGTTAGGAATTCATTATTTTGACTGTGACATCAGTGCTTAGTATAGTGTTGATTTTAACATTGATATCCTCAAAGATGAATCAGACAATGACGCAACTCCCTTGTTAGCAACAATTACCTTCACCGTATACATAGACCATCTCGTATCGCCAAAACCGCTGCTTCCCTGTTACAAAACATTATCACTAAACAGTTTGAAGTGATATTTCTGATCATCTGTTTTTAATATTGCATTTTTTTCTTTAATGGTGCAAGTTACTCAAATGAGAAAGATAGATATATGCCTAGTTTTAAAAGATTTGATTTTACAGCTCTTGAACAATTCCACCATGAAGTGTCTGCTCAGCAGTGGCCCAACGTTATTAATGATCCCATGACCCTAATATTGCTTACACCAACTTTGAAAATATCTTATAGTCACTTTATGATAGACATTTCCCACTTCAAAATTATGTAAAAAAAAAAGATCGAAAAATTAAATCGTGAATGTCTGATGGACTGTTTAAATCCATTAAATATGAACAAAAATTGCAAGCTCAATTCTTCACTGCCCCTCTACTACTGCCAACGAAAAAGCCTAGAAAACAGTTTCGCTACAAGTTAAATTCTCTAAATTAAGACTGCCAAAAATAAGCATTTTCATAACACGTTTCTTAAACATAAAAAATGATATCAATGTAAGACAATTAGTTCACTGCTAAATAAAGAAAAAAAAATTCTTACCTCTTTTAATACCAAAAAACCCATGGTACTGACGATTTTCATACCAAACCCATTAAATCCTTGCTAACTTTATTTCTTTCCCATTATCCCATATTTTTAATCTCTCACTATCTCCTGGCTGATGTGTTCCCAGACAAGTTGAAGCTAGCGCGTTACTCATATATATAAGTCTGGTGACAAATCTGATCTCTAGCCCTGTCTCAATTCTACAGTATCCATATTCTCGAACAGTTTCATTTATGTAACAAATATAACATTCTCTACAATAAACAATATGGTTTTAGAAAAGGACACAGTACATCTATGCCCCTCATTGATTTTACAAACAAAATTGTAACTGCATTTGAAATTTGCCATCTTTCTATCGGATGTTTTATTGATCTTTCCATGGCTTTCAACACTGTCGACTATCGATTCTTTTTTGGCTCCAGAGATTTTTCAAAACTGTACTGTATGCCCATATTAATATTTGTACCAAATTTGGCACTTTTGTCATCTGTGTGATGATCCTGACGCTAAGGCACTCCACTACTAAACTCGATCCAGAACTCATATTCACATATCTTCCCATAACACTAATTATTTTCAACTTAATATTAGATATCAGGCCTTACAATGATGATTCTTTTTTCACATTTATTTATTTCCCCACTTATTTGTTTATATGTTTTGTCCTTTATTATTTTTATTATTTTCTTTATGTTTGTACAGATTTCTGTTTCCTTTAAGGCATGTCCACCACAAGATTTTTATCTTATCGGATCATGCCTTCTTCTATAGATTATTTACGTTATTATATATATCATATTGTATTGTATTTATGTGTTTGTTCTATAGAAGTAAATAAATGTCCTTTGAAATGAAATTTAAAAAAAAATCATTGTTTCTTGATAAAATTAGGGAAAGCAGTAGAGTCTATTAGAAATCTTCTTGAAGATGAAGACGAATCCTTAGAATTTGAACCATTGGACATCGAAAGAGGGCGCAACGTCCTTAGCAGTCTCAGTGACGCTGCAGAAGGCATCAATCCACAAGAGGACAGAGAACTTGCTGATGAAATCAAGTGAGCTAATTTATTATATACTTTATTGTATTGGCCTGTTTCTTTTTGTACAACATATATAACATATAATTACATAACCAGGGAGTCGATGATGGAACGAGAAACTCACAATAGAATATGAAATACAATTCAATATGAATTGTATACGTACGCAATGTAAATATAAGTATTCATTCACAATGATTAACACTATCAAGTGAAGAGTTATTTAAGTTGTTCTTTTAATTACCGATATTAGGCCTACTATTTCCTGGGATAAAAACAAAACCAACAATATCAAGTACAGCCCGGCATTCACCGTTTCGTACGACCGTCGGCCGACAAATCCTACTCTGCTCACTGTCAGTACTAGACGACCCGACGCCGTCTGCTGATTGTCAATGGTTGTCTGAACGGATCGTCATTAAAAACGATTCGTTTCGCGAGCGACGTGGCGTTGCGTTCTCCATAAGCCTGTTTTCCATTAGGCAAATTTATTTGCTCGAATCGAGAGCGTCGATTCGCTTCCTGAGCTCTGTTTGGCTGCGCATTTTTTTCGCCTCACAAAAAGTAGAATTAGCGAAAACTCTGATAGAAATGTGAATGCGCATGAACGACGCTTTCGATTTGATTCGCCTATTGGAAAACCGGCTATAGAATCGCGTCGGCGCAGTGAGTGCCTGACATTATTCGTACTTGTACAACATTCAATTTTATTATTGATTGCTTTAGTCCAATAATAGCAGATGCAAAACTAAATTAAGTGTCTTAAGGATGTGCAACATCACACTCTGAAATCTTTTTGAGTTGGGGCATAAAATAAATTGTAAGTCAATCGTGACGTCATCACCGCAACTCCCAATGTTATTTTCCTATTCCCCACCGTCCACTAATTTTTTAATTAGTGGACGCTTGGATTTTTTTTAGGTGTGCAAAAAAAAAATCCTCATTTTTTCGTCACCGCGAAGTCATCGTGCACCGCGATAACAATTGAATTGTAATTGAAAATTACTTTCGTAAAACAAGCTTAATTAGAACCCGAACGAAGAAAGTTACTTAAAATTCAATATTAAGTATGAACATTTAAGGAATTCATTTAATCAATGGACCCTCATAAACACAAAAAAAACTGAAAGTTTAATAGGAATATTATGAAATCATCGCACGATTTTACCTGTCTGCATACACCGACCAAAAAGGACGTCAGTGACTGTACCTCTCGAATGCTGAAATGTTTATTTCTTTGACGAAAGTCTACCAAAATAGCATTACAAACAAGTTCTTTCTGACACAATACAAATTACAATAGTTATTCATCGTATCGTAACCGTACTGTACTGCTGATATGTATTAAACGCGTACTGCAGAAGCAGAATTCAGCATACGTACAGCTAAATGTAAATACGCACACGTGTACTGATCATATCACTATAGCAACCGATGACTGCTACAACAGTTAGTTATCAAAAACTAAAATTAAATTGACTTATAAAGCAATTAGTAGAGATGCATCGTACACTAAATGGAAAATTATTATACTTAGGTTAGATTTAATGCATTCAAAAATTTCCTTCGGGCCTTGCAGGGCCTCAGGTAATTTTTTTCAAGCATTAAATCTAACCTTCGTATAATAATTTTCCTATAGTGTACTATGCGGAGCTCTACTAATTGCTTATTCTTATGTTTTGTGCACTGATTATTGTCATTGTTATTGCCATTGTTGTTGTTGTTGTTGTCGTTGTCGTTGTTGTCGTCGTTGTTGTCGTCGTCATCGTTAAAGTTAAAGTTAAATCTTATGTTTATTGTCTGCGCTTGCAGGTCAGCTCAACGACTGGTTTTGAGGAAGTTGTCGCGTGGTTTATCTTTCGAAGATGAGATCGAAGAAGAGACAAGTGACGTAAACTTTAAGGCTGTGAGATCGCAGTTGGGTGACAGATTGAGTACATACACTGGTGACGGAGCGGCATCCGTTAATTTCGGTGAAACTCTGAAAGAAAGGTATGCCAACATAAGTATGAAAAGGATATGTCGAATTCATTGGGCGTTGAACCAGGAAGATTGCAGGCGCGCCTATATATTGCATGTAGTGCCATTTTTTGGGTGGTCAAACCAATTGAGTTATTAGCTACATGGTCAAAACACTGCGCCATGCTTAGCTGTATGGTATTTCTATTCCACTCAATTCACTCTCCAGCCAGCCGTGGATCAATAACATTTCCACCAACCTCATAGCAACCTCATTAACGTTTGTTTACTTATTTGTGTAAGTCTCCGAGAATAACGACTTGATAATAGCTGGATATAGAGTGTATGTTAGTGACTATCTAATACAAGATACAAGATTCTTTTATTGGCACTGGTACATAAAATACAAGTAAAACTCGTCTTCCCGATGCAAAAAGAAAAAAAAAAATGACTCGGGACTGACAACTTCCTGCTCATGACTAAAGATTTTGAATTCAAAACTGTATTCTCCAAAATTTTTAGTTTTAACTGTTTGAGCAGGGATTTTTTTTTTTTTTTTTTTTAATCAAATATGTGTAGTAGTGTATATAGCAAATGGGTTGCTGTCGCCAACATCTAATGGTTTGGTGTTTTTTTTTAGAATTACTGCCTCTAATGTTAACAGACGCTCACTCCACTTAGGTCAAGTGTTTTGTGTTGCCAAGTGCATGTTAATTAACATCTATAATAACTATAATAATAATAATTATAATAATTATTATTATTATTATATTGATACATAAGTGTTTGAGGACAATCACGTGTCACCTACTGAGAAAATAAATCACCAGTTTAAACATTTGTACAATCTGAACTTATAAAGCTTTATTTCAAATACCCAGAGCTGATCCAGGAATTTGAAATGGAGGGGGCCTTGGCACCTCTAGATGGCCGGAAATGGGATTATCAGACTTAATAATTAAATATAATTTTCTGTTTTTCTCCATTTATTTTTATGTTGAAATATGTGAGTGGTAGAGAGCGGCCTGGTCGGATGCATCACCCTTGAATCCGCCACTGAACCAATAGTCTGTCTACCGTTAGGCCTAACATTTTATTCATTTGTACACTAATACAAAGCACTTTATTTTAATTCAACAAGTGTAGTTGCGTAATGGTTTTGATCATAACACAAAAGTGCATTTACTGCTACATATAATTATTTGATTGTTATAAAGTGATCAACTCTTCTTAAACTCAAACATTGTTTCTTATTGTATATGGCCTTTAATACATTATTTATGATTGCGTGATAGGTATAAATAGAATATTTAATACTAGACCAACTCTGCCAAAGTTGTTTTGCTTGGAGCTGTGCCCATGAGTAAGTTTTATTTATAATGAACATGATATAAAATCATCATAAGTTATATTATGACCTAAACAGGCCTTACCCATTAACATTACATTAAAATATTGTGCATTTTGAAAAATATTTTGAAATTCAATCCACATAACTGCTCCTCTTTTTTAAAGTAATTTAAACATAAACATAAAAGTAATTTAAACATAAATTTAATATTGACGCCATATTGATAAGCACAATGTAACAGCATTTTGTTGAGATAGTTTGGCAGGACAAGGCCTAAAATAATTAGTACCATGTACAAATAAAAGCGTGGCAAAAGTACGTAGAACAATCAAATTTACAGTAGTTTTGGCATTGGTGATTTAAAATTAGTTTGCTTTATTAGTCTTATTCAGTCACTTATCACAATCAAAATGAGATAAATAACAAATTTATATAAAATAGTAAATACATGATTGACGTGTACGAGCTAATCGTCGTTCCTTCCTTTCAACGTACAGGTTTGCTACAGACTGGGATTGCGACGATGACCGAACCTGTTCTGACGTTATCGTCAAGTTTTCGCATTATAAGGACGGTGTTGACTTGTCATCGTTCAATGAGGAAGATGCACAAACGGTTATTGCCGACATCATCGACATATCCATTGCCAATCCTGAAACAGGTACACCTAATTTTGTATATGCATTTTACAGAAAAAATAAACTTAAAAATAAATACTGGCGCGAACGAAACCACCACTGACATGGGGTTGCTTGCGTTGAATCGAAGTTGCAAAAAATAGACTAAGGCACTGCTGTTTTATTTTTTAAGGTGATGATATTGAAATATCCGACCTGCAAACACCGGTGACTATTGATATACCAATCAAAGAAATTCCGGAAGGAAAGAGACCCGTAGGCAAGTTCATGAACAAGGAAACATCTGCCTGGGATTCAGAAGGCGTTGAGACAACTGTTTCCGAAGATAGACGGACGGTTACTATTGCTTCAACTCACTTGACAGAATTCACCGTTGTCATTAATGTCGAAATATTGAATCCCAACACAATGGCGTGCATTTCAATACTTGGAGTATGTATTATACTTTCTTATCTGAGATTAATCGGTGGACCTTTCGGTATAATACATTACAAGTGCAAGTTGGAACCGTTATGTAATTCGGTGACTCCTTCTCTTGCTCGCTTCCCGCACAACTCTTATATTAACCCATACAATATTTGTTATGCAGACAATAACTCGAAGACTCTGATAGTCATTGTGATCGTCGGTGCCGTGGCCATCGCTTTTATACTTGTGTTTGTGTTGACTGTCGTTGTCTGGCCGCGGTTCAAGAAGCGAAAGCAGGTGTCACCAACACCTTCTAAAGAGAACATCAAAGAATAAAATATTCATCACAACTTTCAATGCCACAAATTATGATCTTGAGGTGAAAAAAGCAGAATAGATTTATTTTAATGTTTAGTGTACCAGATAAAGTCCTACAGGCCTAACTCATTGTTATTTTGATTGCAAATATTAGGGGAGTTTTTTTTTAGTCATTACCTTAAAAAACATTTTTTAATTTTGGTTGTATATGTAAATTTTAATTGAATTGTTAATAATGAACTGTTAAATAAAGAATCGGACTTCATGTGTTACATGTGACCGCAAACCACCACAAATATCTTGTATCACGGAACAAAATATAATTTGAGGAGTTTTTTGTAGTCATTACCTTAAAAAACATTATATATTTTTGGTTGTATATGTAAATTTTACTTGAATTGTTGATAATGAATTGTTTATATAAAGAAGAATCGGACTTCACGGGTTACATATGACCACAAATCACCACAAATATCTTGTATCACAGAACAAAATATAATTTCTGTCATAATTTACTACAAACTACAATGTTCTTGAAATTAAGATGGCGGTGGCACCATGGTCCTGTCTGAAATTGATTTGTCATGGATTCTAGAACATACAATGAGCACCAACTGTTAGCCTATGTCGGTAATATAAAGGCTTTAAATTAGGTTTTGAATTAGACAAACCCACTCTAACCTAATTTTAGGTTATAAAATCTCAATTGCTAAATAATAAAATCTTTGTTTTAAATTGTACCTTATGTGAATAGACTCTCAAAAGTCTTAATTGCTTTCTTTTTTGCGCATCACTTTGGTTATAACGGTCTTACCCAAAGATTTTTCGATTCAACAAAATTTTAACCGTCATTGTCGCATTGGTGTATTTGTGAGTGGGCGTTATGTTGTAGGAGACAAAGAGAGGAAAACATACCACATTGCCTCCACTTTTAAAATAGTTTAATTCCTTACACTTACATTCACAACATAAATTTCACGCAGTAGTCCTAAGTAAAATATTTTACAGTATATGCAAGTAATGAAAGTGCATTAGGCATTTGTAATTCAGATTATGCAAGATATCTAGTTGGCCAGTAGCCTATAACTTAGGTTGTACCGTACGTTGTGTACGTATATTTCTGTTTTCACGCAAAACAAACGAATTTTGGCCTTTTTTATAATTTGGCCTTATGTTAATTTGCAATACACATTTTCTTGGTGTTTGAAGCTGCAGAAAAGCTGTAGCCAATGTAAACTAACATCTACATTAACAATGTATTACTTGATTGAGAATGCATACCTTAATTTTTACTATAAATTGTATAAAAGCAAGATTTTTTAAAATGTTCAAATAGCCCTATTATAATGTCTGAAGTAGGGCTGGTGTTCACCATTCAGTGATTTTGGCGCATTAATTAAAAATTATCACCGTGTTTAGAAAATATTTAAATTTGTCATTCAGTGATGTTGACACCGAAATGTTATTTATTGATGTCAAAAAATATAGATAACGATTGTAATAGCATAATATTAATGAATATATAATAATTATTATCATTATAATTACAATTACAATAATTTTCATTAATAATATAAATAAATAATAATAATAATAAATATAGTTTTAACATTGTTTAAATTGTTGGCTATATATCAGATATAACCCACGTAAAAATATTTTGACGTGTAACAAGTTAGTGTCTTTTATATTCTATATTGTATATTGTTATAATCGTTTTATAGGAAGATATATATAGTTTTTTGACTTGTATTTTACTAACAGACAGCAACAAAATTATCTCGAGTTTTACAAACGCAAGGTTTTCAAGCACTTCATTTTTAACAATCGTTTACACACAGTTTAAGCATTGTTTCAGAATGTTGTAGATAAAGCAGTGAATGGTATTATGTATAACACAAAATTAGAAAAAATTACTAATTAAATGAGGCATGCCATTCCAAAACCAACGTACCGTCGCTATGCTAAACTAAGTAATTTAGCATAAGAGTGTGGCAGTACTGTATAAGAACGTCCTACAGAGAAACCGTGATGTAGGCCTATATATTTATAACTTTGGCAATATTCAGTCGATTCCAATCGATACCAATAATTTTAAATCTCATAATGTACAGAATATGAATCAAAAAGTCAATTTTGCTGTTTTGGTATTGGTTTTGGGATGGCGTGTATCGCAACGATACATTATCTAATGATCTTAGTAGTACGTAGATGTGACTGATTGGTATAATGTTTAAGATGCAATTTAGCATTTTTTTTTGTAAATCATTATGTATGACGTAACAGTTTTTAAATATAAATTACAGACATAACTTAAATTTCCTGGGAAAACAGAGGACACAGAATCGGTAGGTGTACGCTGTGAACACGTCACATGCGCAATTTTCTGTGCAACATTACGCATTATCACTTCAGTTTACGTTGTAATTTCAAAAAATTCCTTGTTTAAACAAGACTTTTAAAAAATTTGTTTCATCAATACTGTACATTCAAATACTACTCACACAAACAAAGAGTTACTAATATATTTTTCATATCAATGGGTCCTATTATCGTACTAAATTAGAATATTTTTCCTACACATTTTGACGGCTGTTCTGTAAGAATATAAGAAGTATAATTAGCAATAAATGTTGTATATTAATATCAATTGTGTTGTTTATTCTATAAAGATCATCAGCACGCGGATTACCAATATAATTATAATTTAGAAATTTTTCATCTTGTCCGATATTAACAATAAAGCGTAGGGTGACCTTTGTTTGTTGAGGAGGAACCGTCCCGAGGCTCACAAAGTGAGGATATACCAAACTGAGGATATCGTCTCTAAAGAGCTTTTACAAATGGGCAAGGCAGAGGTCCGCAAAAACCACTACTAAAACCTTATCGGTTTGAATCACGGGCCCACATTGTTCAGCACAAATTGCTTTTGTATGCCTTTATCGAAACTTATTGCTCATATTGAATTTTCTACTCGAGTATTCCAAACAGATATATTGTATGTGAGTAAAACATAATTACTGTATTAGAGTATAATTAAACGTATTTCTATGCTTATGGACTTATGGAAACGCCCACGTTATCACAGTTATAAAAACAATACTGTAGTTGTATTTGGAAATTTACCACACCAGTAGGCCCATACAAAACTCAGCAAATAAAACGCACACAATTTGAGAGCGTGTTACAGCAAAGAGTCAGAACACTGCTTGCCAACCTGTTTCAGTAATGCAGTATATTAGGGAGTTTTTCGCAAGCTTACGAAAACCACAACGATTACGGATACGTCATCAAATTCGTAGACAATCCTTCCCCTACAGTAGGATATCTGTCATAATGTAGACGATTCATGCCTTTTGCATGAATCACGATTGCGTTAATCAAAGATCATATTCGGCTGTACAGCATATTGTCAAATGATGATAACGATAGTGACGTATTCGTATTCGTTATCGTTTTCGTAATGTTGCGAAATCTCCCTTGCTGGAAAAAAATCCTTATTGCGGATGTTGGTCGCTTGAAGGTGGTTCATTTACGGCGAAGTTGCTTCTTCATTTTTCACCTCAAGTGGTTGGGTATCACACTCCGGAGCCGTCGTTGATATTCGTCTTTTCTTAATGGCGGTTAAACGAAGAATAACGATTATAACAATACATATCAGAAGAGCTGTCCCTAGAACACATATCGTTATCACCAATATCAAGTTAACGACTTCTTTAGTTTCCGTGCTTTGTGTTGTAGGTGTACGTGTACTACTGCCCGGAGATGACTCTAGTTAACACAAAAGTAGATACAATATACTTA